AGGGAGGGAGNGAAAGGGGGGGGAAAAGGGAGGGACGGGGGGCGGAGGGCGTTCGGGTGATGACGGGGCCCATGACGGGGGCGCCCCCGGCATCCCCTGGCCACGCCTCACCCCTCTATAATGTGTGTATATATATATACACATATACATACTGCTGTACATGCCCAATATGTGTACCACTATATATACCACAAATGTACACACGCACACACACACACACACACACTCTCTCTCTCTCTCTCTCTCTCTCTCGCGCGCGCGCGCGCGCAGGTTCAGGAATCCTCGGAGTGGCAGAGCTACGTCAACAGGGTGTTCGACGTGTTTGACTCCGGGCACACCGGCAGCCTCTCCCGCGACAACCTGCAGCGCGTGCTGTGCAGCCACAGCCACAACAGCCTCAACCACCACAACCACCACTACCTGGAAAGCAACAAGAACAACGGTGATGGTGATCACAATTCGGATCCGGATTTTGAGGGGGATTTGGATTTGGATGAGTGTCCTTTCGATGACGTGGTTCCGGCAGCTCTGCGGGAGGCTGATGAGGACGCCGACGGACGAATATCCCGAGAGGAATTTGGGCGGCTGCTGGCGACGGCACCCGGGGACGAGCTGGAGCTGTACGAGAGCCGGCGGCGACGCCGCCGTGGCGGCGATGGCAGCGATGGCGGCGGCAGCGATGGCGGCGGCAGCGGCAGCGGCAGCGGCAGCGAAGAAGCGTCTGGCTCGGATTGATGATGGTGGTCGGGCGGTCGGGTTTGGTTGGAAATGTGTGTAGGAACTCTTTTGTGCAATTTTGGGGTGCTTGGGACCGGGGGTGATCGCGACCCCGACTGATGGGGGTGGGCAGGTCGTTAGGCCTGACAGGGGGCAATAGTGAACCATACAAACATAGCCATTGCATGGGTGACCCGCGCAGATTCTGTTTAGTGGTTGGGGGTGAATCAGCTAGGCGGGTAGTTAGTTGGTTAGTTGTTAGAAAGGTAGATCGCGATTGGGAAGGGCCATTCAGAAGCACCAGTAGCAAGAGCAGGAGGGGCAAGGTGGGGAGAGAGGGGGAGGCGATCTGTTAAAGGAGGTAAACCGGCCCAGGGGGCTTTGGCAAGTAGGTAAGGTCGTTAGGCTAGGGTTTGTTTACGAATAACCAGGTCGGTGCACAGCTTTCCGGGTTATTGCTGGGAAATAACTTTATTTTTGAAGCCTTTCATCGCGTCATATATGGATTTGTTGCGGCAAGAGCCTACGTAAATGGTTGGATGGATGGACGGAAACTCGTACGATTCGGACGAACCTGAAGGCTCATGAACCACTTCAATCGCGCAAAAGTAAATATTATAAATCAAAGCCCGCGTAACCAGAAGGACGCCCGTCTGGGTTGCGTACGATATGCTCTTCCGCGTTGCGGAGGCGGGCGCGCAGCCAGAGCCCTGAAAGGGCGAAAGCGTCTATTAGTAATGGTGGGGTTATCTGCCGGTCGTAAGATCATCTCGTTATACAAGCTGAAGGATTGTCTGTGGCAGGTACTAGTTCGTTGGGTGGCGTGGCGACGATGCGCCACCAAAGTGCGCCTCGTACAAGAGATGATCCCATCGTTTACCGGATTTGAAATGTTTGTTGTTGGTCGTGTGGCTGCTTGAGATGCACGAGAATGCGCTTGTTATTAAGTTCTAAACCATCCTTTGCATAAGTTCCTTGTTCCTCCTACATTTTGTACGTAAGCACGCTTTTTAGGTCTACATCCGCTTGGCGTATGCATACAACAATAACAGCTGTTATAATTCGGGGAAATAATACAGTTGGAATTTTTTGTGGGCTTAAACATCACGGCGATAACATGACTTAGGTTGAGCAAAAAGCAACGCGCATTGCACGCCGGTTCACAACTTACCTTAGCTAGGCGCTTAAGCAGGGTTACGTTTGCGCAACATAATGGCGCCATGGCTGGTGACTGCGATACAGAATGGAGATTTGCAGGTGCGATGGGACTTCAAAATTTGACAGTCCCCCAGAACTGAGTGCCACAGCGGCCCCATCACAAAGTGAATCTGGTTATAGCGAGAGAATCTATGCAGACATAAATGCTGTGCGGTGCGAGTCCAGGCAGCTGGCCCCTTACGCATACGCTATCGCAACTCCTCGCAACTCCTCGCAACTCTTCACCACTTTCCGCCGATTCAGCACATTTCCCAAGCATATGCCCTAACTTGCTCTGGGTTCTTGCTACTATTCAATCCATTCCATTTCCCATACGGCAATCAAAGCAAACCGTAGCATGCGCATTTGCCTTCCACTCTCTCGCAGGATCGCCGGCTGCCACTACGCACAGCCGAACAGGTTCTTCAAACCGCCAGAGAAAATCTCACGGGAAATAAGCTCACCGCACTTGCCAGCGTCCACAAGTCAGCTTACCGGCAAGTGGGCATGGCCCGGCTGCAATACGGAGGTGGCGATTACGAGACCAACGCCATAGCGTTCCAAAGGCTCCCGGATGATGTGATCCCGGCAGGGCCGCTTTTTTCGGTTTGCAAAGTGGTCGACACCACGAGGACTTTGTCGCGAGTCGTACTCATCAAACGGCGCACGACGAAGAGCGCCTTTGTGGGGTACGACGACGGCGACGGCGATTACGGCGACGGCGACGACGGCAGGTTACTTCATGACGATGACGTCAATGATGATGATGATGGCGATGATGATGATGATCTTCACATGGGCCGCGTCACAGGCGGGAGAAGGAGAGGAGGGCGATGCTTTGCCGCCAGTAGAAGTGGCGGAGGAGGGGCTCTGAGAGCCAATCTGCTGCCGCGCTTCCCCTCCTCACAGCTCCTCCTTCAGCCCCAGCTCAGTGAGCCGCTGCCGCCGCCGCGACCTACTCCCCAGCCGCTGCCGCCGCTCCCGCCGCCGCCGCCGCCGCCGCCGCTGCTGCTTCATGTAAGCGATGATGACGTCGACGGTGAGGAAACAGCCGGCGCGCCAAAGCGTCTCACGCCCAGACGTCTCGGGTCACCCTCCTTCTCCTCCCTGACCTCTTCGCCCCAGTACGTGCCAAAAGCGCAAAACTGGAACCACCGTCTTCAGTACCAGCATCGCCGGTTGCACGACAGGGACCAAGAAGGCCGATTCTCAAGCTCGGGCCCAGGCATGGATGCGCCTGGCGTGGTGACCACCCCTCAGGGGAATCCCTTGGTATCCCTTGGAGCCATTGGAGATGCTGAGGGAAACACTGTCGCCTGTAGCAACAGCAGCGGCAGCAGCAGCAGCTTCAGCGTCGGCAGCAGCACTTTGATGCATCCCGCACCCGCGCCACAACAGCAAAAGCAGCAACAGCACGCGCGCCGCAGCAGCGCGCTTTTGCCGTCTACCTCTGAAAGCTTCCTGAGCCCCAGCTCCTCTGTCCTGATGGGCGACCCTGGTCCCCAGGCCCCCTGGTGTGTCCGCTCGGTGGGGGACGGCGCCAGTATGGAGCGAGTCAACCGGTTGTTGGGCGACCTGAGGAGGGTTGCGGGCGGCAATCGAAAGTTGGATGTCGCCACGTGCATCCCCCGCGGCGGCGGCGGCGGCGGCGGCGGCAGCCGCTCAAGGAGCAGCAGTAGCAGCACAACGCAGATGCACCTCCGGACGCCAGCGGCGACTTGTGACGGCGTTGGAAGCAGTAGCAGTAGTAGTGGCGGCGGAGGCGGAGGCGGCAGCGGTAGTGGCGGCGGCGGCGCCAGTGGCAGCAACTCCGCTATCCGCAGCACATTCCGTTCTTCTGCAACGACAACCGTTGGTACGACACCCGTCGTCGCCGCCGGGGGCACTCTCCGCGATGGGTGGACCAGTAAGAAAATGAGCCCTTCTACTGCAGTACGGCAGACTATGACGATCAGCAACTCTGCAGTCACGGCCGCCACGGGGTCGCACCGTCGCGAAGTGGACGCGGTGCCGCCGGCTGGACGCGCGGTGGCGATAAGCTTCAGTGCTGGGAGTACGGCACCGGTGGCGGCTGCTGCGGCGGCGACGGCTGATCAGTATGGTGATGTTGATGGGGATGAGGATGAGAAGAACAAAGACTGGCGCCGTGGCGTCGTTACTTTCCCGCCAGAGTTTGCAGGGGTCTGCTTACCAACTAACCGCCAGCCCCGACGGGCCCAAAGCAGCTTTTTAACTTGATAGGCGCCGCTGACTGGCACTGCTGTCCCGCTACAGCTACACTGGCGGCGGACACACTAGCGCTGCTGCTGGTCCTGATGGCTGCTGTCGCTGCAACGATCTCGCTGCCACAACGTACATGCATACATGCATACATACATATGTACATTGATGGCAGGTTATGACGCCGTTGTCGCCGTCGCCGCCGTCGCCGCCGCGTCGGCAATGGCTTTCCTTGGTGCTGGTGTGTGTGTGTGTGTGGGTGATATGTGGTTGCAATAAGCCATGGCTGTTGCAGTTTCTGCAGGCAGGTTGGTCGGGCCCCCTGCTCAGCATCGTAGGGTCTATATCTCTATTAGGACTTTATTATTAGGGGTTGTAAGGGGTTCTAACATGCCGTATATATATACATATATATACACGCGGCAGGCAGGGAGGTTTATTTAGGGTCCATTTCTTGTTTAAGCTACAAACTACAAAGCCAGAGCTTGACCCAGGAGGAGGAGGAAGCGCATCGAGTGCCAAGAGATGACATCGAGATGGAGTTTCTGCACCGATGACC